TCTTTCTCCTCCTCCTCCTTCTCGTCCTTCTTTCTCCTCCTTCTCTTCCTTCTCTTCTCTCCTTTCTCTTCTTCGCTTTCTCCTCTTTCTTTCTCCTTCTTTCTCCTCCTCCCCCCCTCCTTAACTTCCTTCTTTCTCTTCCTCCACAACTGCGCGCTACAAGTCCCACTGATCTCTCGTTGCCTGATGCTGTGCTGTGCGCCCCCCCCTCTCCCACATATTTGTTTCTCTAATCGCAGGATATCAGACGCTGATTTCCCCAGGGTGCTCTCCAATCGGTCGGTCCTCCACCAGTGATGCTTCCGCTGCAGCGCTGGCCGCATTTCAGGATGGGCGCGCCGCTCCCGTCGTTCAGATTTGCGCTCTAGCCACACTGGAACCACATGTCTGAGAGAGCGTGATCCACCGCCGCTTTACTGTGGAAAATCCCCCCTCTTCCTCCGGAACCCGGGGGTCCCCCCCGTAAGGGGGTCCCCCCTCCCAAATGCACCCCCTCTTGCAGGACCCCTCCCTCCTTCCCCCTGGAACCCCTCCCCCCCTAACCCCTCCCACCTCCCCCCCCCTCTCCCGAAAACCGGGGGGGGTCACTGCCGGTTCGAACCCCCCTCACCCCCACTCTGGAAAACCGGGGGGGGGGTCACTACCGGTTCGACTCCCCCCCCCTCCCCCCTCTCTGGAAAACCAGGGGGGGTCATTACCGGTTCGAAGCCCCCCCCCCATTCCCTTCAGAAAACCGGGGGGGGTCACTGCTGGTTCGAACCCCCCCCTTCGAAAACCAGGGGGTGTCACTACGGGTTCGAACCCCCCCTCCCCCCCCAACCACCATCGCCTTCCCCATTGTCCCCACCACTACCGTCCCCTCCACTGACCAGCATTGTCCCCACCACTGTCCCACCGTCCCCACTACATTCCCACTGTCCCCACACCACTGTCCCCACCACCACCGTCCCCACCTCTGTCCCACAGTCCCCACCACTGTCCCACTGTCCCCACTGTTCCCACCATTGTTTCCGCTGTCCCCACCAGTTCCCCCACCATTGTCTCACTGTCCCCACTCTCGCCACCATGGTCCCACCACTGTCCCACTCTTCCCACTATCCCCACGGTCCCTACCACTGTCCCACTGTTCCCATTGTTTCCACCACTGTCCCACTGTCCCCACTGTCCTCGCCGCTGCCCCACGTGCTGTGCTGTCCCACTGTCCACACTGTCCCCACCACAAGCCCACTGTCCCCATTGTCCCCACCACTCTCCCCACTGTACTACTGTCCCACCACCGTCCTCACCACCGCCTTCACCACTGTCCCCACCACTACCGTCACCACCGCTGTCCCCCTCACCACTGTCCCCACCACCACCGTCCCCACCACTGTCCGCACCACTGTCCCACTGTCCCCACACCACTGTCCCCACCACCACCACCGTCCCCACCACTGTCCTAGTATCCCCACCACTGTCCATCTGTCCCGAGGTGCGAGAATCGTTTGCCGGCGGCGAGAGGAGGGGGTGGTCGAGCCGGTAGTGACCCTCCCTGGTTTTTGAGGGGGGGGGGTTCGAACCGGTAGTGACCCCCCCCTCCTTTTTCATGATGGACTGGGGGGAGGGGGGGGGGGTTCGAACCGGTAGTGACCCCCTCTGGTTTTCGAGGGGGGGGGACGGGTTGGGACCCCCCAGTGACCCCCCCCCGGTTTTCCCCCAGCAGCGGCAGAGCGCACACTCGTTCACATGTCTGCATCCGAGTGCTTCCGCGTTGCCGTCATCACTCTTCCCTCTTCCGCATTCTCCCGATCGTCCTGCTCCTCCTGCTCCTGCTGGTGCTCCTCCCCCTCCTCCCTCCTGGCAGTCCTGGGCGGGCCGGGCGGGCCCTCTCGGGCGAGCCCGCGCGCCGGCACGGCGGCGACGCAGTCTCTCCTCGTCGCGGCCCTCACTGATGACGAGGCGCTGGCTGCCATGGCCAGGGCTGATGAGCCTGTTTTCCACCACCACCACCATAAGTTGGAGGGGGGAAGGAGGAGGAGGAGGAGGAGGAGGAGGAGGAGGAGGAGGAGGAGGAGGAGGAGGAGGAGGAGGAGGACCCCTCCCCGTGGTGGTGGTGGTGGAGACCACGCCCATCACAGGGCCCTGCCGATCCTGGATGTCCACATCGGTAGGCTGCTCAGCATTGTCCTTGACGTGGAACTGAACACCTCAGCTGGCAAGACGGCGGCCTCGTTGCAGCACCAGAGGTGCGCGACCCTCTTGCTCGTCGGGAGCCACGCCAGCGAGCAGGCGGCAGCCTGCGGTTCGCAGTGCCTGGGCGTGACTCGGGCATCACCGTCGTCACGTCGTACAGGCGTCTTGGCATGTTCACTTCCCTTTCGCGAGTGCAGCATGGTGGGCGCCGAGTTCCAAGCTTCTCATACGCTTCAGGCCTGTGCGCCGTGGTCTTGGAACGCTTCCGGCGTGCGCAGAAGATTCGCTTCCTTTGAGGCTGCTGGTGAGCAGGCTTATCTTCGGGATCCAGGCGCTGGTCCTGCCACTGGGCATACGATGCTCCAACCTACTTTAGCCCTCATCACCAGACAGACTTTCTATCACCAGAACAAAAAAACACCGAAACTCGAGGGTTTTCGTGTGTCGGGCCCCGGGAGACATTCGTCCGACACTGTTTCGACATTCTTTTGACACTTTTCCGGGTGCTCGAAATTGTTTTTGGGATGGGGTCCTTGAGTGCGATGGGAGCAACATAACACTAGGCATATTCAGAAGAAGCTGAATGGTGCATACATGGTCGTATTGGGACGCACCGCCGACGAGCCTCGCTTCTGCAGGACCTAGCACACAGATCGCCAGATCTGGGAGCTGTCAGGGCAGCCTGCCGTAGAGCGTCACATCATCCGCATGCGACTGAAATATCAGGCCCCGGTGGTCGCTCACCTCCCTCGGTCCTTGATAGCGCTTCTGCATGCCCGGCCTGGAGGGCATCTTTTGCAATGGGCGCAGCAAGTAGGAGCAGATGCTCTTCTTCTCCACCCTTTCCTGCCTGCCGGTTTTCCCTTCTTCTCCTCTGATCACCTCGCTTGGCACGATATCATGCTCAAGCGGTCTGAATGGAGGATAGCATGTGTTTTATCCCATCGATCTGTGTACTCGTGCTCCCCCACAGGCTGGCCAACCTGCGCAGTACGTGTTTCATTGTGGAGCTGGCTTCATCAGTTTCCGTGCCTTTGCAAGCCACCAGCGCAGCGAACACGGGCAGACGCTTGCGATTCAAGATCGTCTAGCTTCGTCTGTGTGTCCCGCATGCCACAAGGGCTTCCGTGAGCGTGTGCGGTTGTTGGCGCATGTGTCCGACAAGCGTCGCCCGAAGTGCCGCGAATAGATCATGGCCAACTGCCCTGTGCTTCCCTCCGAGCAATCTGCTGCACTTCGCGCCAACGATCGCGAATGCTTCCGAGTGCTTCCGACTTGCCCCAAGCCGGGCATGCCCATCATTTGGCAACGCTGCCAGTTTTAGTGGTTTCGTAACCACCTGTACTACTCGACGCCGCGGAGAACTATCGGTACAGCTCGATGGTTTCCCCGGCTGTGTTGTTTGTACAAAATTTGAGGCTACACTTAGTTGCCGATTCCGCATCAATATATATATATATATGTTTATATAGACAATATGTATATACACATGTTGAAATCTGTATTTGTATACACATATCACATATGTACATCTACACGTATACATGTATACATATCACTCGTGCGCTTCTGTGATAAGGCTGTTGGATACACGAGCATCGATGCACATGTGTGTGCAATCAAGACGCTGGAATAATCATTTAGCTTCGAGCGATCCTCACAGAAACCTTCGGCGTTTTGACCCAGAAGGTGCGCGCGCTCATTGGAACGATATGCGCGGGGCTCGGCGGGTAGGGTGGGCGACTCGGCGCGGGGGTGTGGTGCTGGTGGTAGCTTGGGTTGGTTATGCAGAGTGGACGCTGAGTCCGCACGGTCGCGCTTATGTTGTGTTGTGAGGTGTTGTGTTACGCGATGCTCAGTGTGACCAACTCTGTCATAGGATATGGTGTTATGCTATTGCTATGTTTTGCTATGCTATAGCAAATGATGCCGCGCTCTGTCATGTGATGGTTTGTCATGGTATGGCATGACATGCGCTGTAGTGTTGTGTTATGGTGAGGATTGTTTGTCATGGTATGCAATGTGATGCTCTGTCATGCCATATTGTGTTATACTAAGTTCTGGTGTGGTATGCTATGTTATATTACGGCATGTATGTTCCGATCTGTCATACCATGCGTTGTTTGTGGTATTGTGATATGATATGCTACGTCATGTTACGCGATGGTGTGTCGTGTTCTGCTTTGGTATGTTCAGTTATGCCTGTTTTGTTATGCTATGCTTGGTTTGTCATGCTATGGTGCGATCTCTGCTGTGATAATGTGCTATGGCATGCGCTACGCTGTCATGGTGCGTTATGTTACGATATGGTCTGTCACGATATGGTACTTTATCCGCCGATGTGTTCTGTTCGGTGGTGTGGTGTTATGCTCTGTTCTGTGGGGGACCCCGGGATCTGGCGACCGCGGTATGCGGAGTGGGCGAGTCGGGCGGGGGCGGGACCACCAGGGATTATCGGGAGCCTGGGGATCTGGCGGCCGCGGTATGCAGGGCGGGCGGGCCGGGAGGCCTGTCTTCAAAATCCAACGACCCCCACCTGACGGGTGGGGAGGTACCGCCCTCGGCCCCGGAGGGGCCCTGCTCGTGGGGACACCGGTCCTTCGACCCAGGTCGGGAGACCTGCTCGTGGCAGAGGGCCGCCGTCGCCAGAGAAGAAGCCCTCCCTGACCTTCCAGAGAGCTATTTTTTAGCACTGGAGGCCTAAAAACCAAAAAAACTAAGCGAAACAGCCTAAAACCAAGACGTATAATAGCTCTGGGATAGGTTTTTAGGTCGGGTGCCATTTTTTGGCCCTCTTGGAAGGTCAGGGCTTGGACCTGCCGCGGCAGGAGCCCATGCTGCAGCTGGCCGCCTCCGCCGCCTCGCCCCCGGAGCTGCGGCGCAGGCGGGCCCCGGGGCCGCGCCCGCAGCCTATCATCCGCGCCCCTCTCCCGGTGCCCCCCGGTATACGGCAGGGGCGCGAGCCGTCGGGGGCTCCCTCCTCACGCGGTGTGGTGCCCACGCACCGTGCGGTGAGTCGGTGGGGCTCTCCGGGGCCGCCGCGCGGTTTTGGGGCTCGGGCCGTTCTCCGAGGCTGTCTCGGGCGACAGGGGCCTCCAGGGTCTCAGTTTCCAGGAGGGGGCTAAAAGATAACACCCGGCTTAAAAGCCTGTCCCAAAGCTATTCTACGTCTTGGTGTTAGGCTGTTTCGCTCAGTTTTTTAGGTTTGTAGGTTTCCAGTGCTAAAAAACGACAGGTCACCGCCTACCAAACCACCCCAACCCGACCCGAAGGCTTCAAATGGCCCTCCATTTTTCCAGCGGGGAGGCTCGGGGCACATTTTGAAAAAACACACGGAGCCCGTACCCCCCCCCCAGCCCGAAATTTCGGGTCAGATTCGGGTCTTCGGGTTGGGTCGGGGTGGTCTGGTAGGTAGTCCACAGGGGCCTCCGGGGTCTCAGTGCCGTGCGGTGGCGGGCCGCGCGGTGAGGCCTCTCGGGGTCCCGAGGCCACCGCACGGTCTGCCACCGCGGGCCGCGTCGCGGCGCGGCCCCGAGTCCTGGCGCGCGGGCGCTCCAGGTCGAGTCCGGGGACGATTTTTTTTTTGGGGGGGGGGTATTTTTGACGATTTTGTTTTTATGGGGGGGTATTGTAGGGGGACAGGCTCGACCTGATCGTAGCTCCGTCTTTCGGGCGCACTGGCGTCGACTCCGGCGCCCGATGGGCGACGGTATGACGCCGATGTGACATTGACGGGCGCAGCTTTGGCGCCGAGCAGCGTCGAGTCGCACGAGCCAACGAGATGGGACAGGAGGCTCCCGTGCGCGTCGCTACCGAACGTGCCGCCAGTGGCCTGGAGTCGGCCTCGAACGATCTGCACGATCGGCGAGCTGCAGTCGCTCGGAGACGGTTCGCGCGGCATCGGAGACCAGCGCCGACGTCGTCGCGGTGTGAGCTCGCCGCCTCCCCCCGCTTGCCCTTCGTCCGAAGCCTTGCGGCGATGACCTGTCGACGGACTGGGCCACGCAGGTTTCACAGTTCTTGTTTGCGCGCCGCACGGATGGCGCCACGCAGACTTCGCGACGTGGACTGCACCACACACACTGCACGGCATATCCTGCGCGGCGTAGGTTGCACAGCATATGTTGCATCGTGTAGATAGCACCACGTGTGTTGCTTCACATAGATCGCGCCACGCGTATTGCATCACACACACACGCACTGCTCGACGCATAGTTGGGGCCCGCGCTGGCTGACACCAGGAGCCTCCTGGATGAATCTGAGGGTCTCTTGGGATGCATCTCTGGGGACATCTAGTGGCCGTCGGCCCATACCGCCACCGTGCTTGCGTTGTGGGTTGGGGGCCTCTTGGATGTCCGTTTGGATATCGTGGGAGGCCTCTCGGGGGCCTCGTGGAGGCAGTTTTGAAGCCTCTTGGTGGCCGTTTGGGGGATTCGTGGGGCCTCTTTTTGGGCCTCTTGGGGGCCTTGTGGGGCCTGTAGGGGGCCTCCTGGGCTCTCTTGGAGGCCTCTTGGGGCCTCATGGGGGCCTCTTGGGACGAAAGGCTGGAATTGTCGGTTCGTGTTCTCTCTCTTGGGCCCTTTTTTGGGCCGTCTTGGGGCCCTCTCGGATCTTGGAGCGTCGGAAGCCCGAACACGCGAGAGCGCGACAAGCATCGAACAACACAAGGAAACTCAATGAGTATTGCCTCATTGGGCCCGCTTGGGGGTCCTCTTGGAGCGCTTTGGGGGCTTCTTGGGGGGCTCTTGGGTCGTCTTGAGGCCAGTTTGGGCTGTCTTGGAGCGCTCTTGGGCTGTCTTGGAGGCCTTCTGGACCCTCTAGGGCGCTTTTTGGGGCCCTCTTGGCCCGTCTTGGGGCCCCCTGGCCTTTGGAACAGTCGCACGAGGCAGCCCAGGAACGCGCGGGGGCGCTCAGGAAATTTGATAGAATCTGGGGGCCCAGCTCCTACAATAACACTAGAATCCCCCAGTCCTGAGCACAGAGAACAGAGAGCCTGGGGGTAATTCCACTTCGTGCCTCGAGGCACCGTGGCGGATCTTGGGGACATGTGGGAGGCTTTTTGGGGCCTCTGGAGGGCTTCTTGGGGGCGTCTTGGAGGTCTTTTGGGGCCTCTTGGAGGGCCCTCGGGGGCCTCTGGGGGGCTCCTGGGGCCATTTCGGTGGGAAAGGCTCGAAGTGTCAGTTCGTAGTCCCCCGCTTGGGCTTTCTTGGAGGCCTCTATGGGAACTCCAGGGGCTGTCTTGGGCCGTCTTGTGGGGCCCCTGGGGCTGTCTTTGGACCCTCTTGGGCCGTCTTGGCGCCTTCTTGGAGGCATCATTGGCAGTCTTGGGACGATCTTGGGGGCCACTCGGGCTGTCGTGTTCGCTGTCAAAACGTAACATGCGAATGTGCTGAACATGTATTTGTTTACAAGAAGGGAAAATGAGATGATGTTGGTCTCTTGGGGCCCTCTCCGCGACCCTCTGGAGGCGCTTTTGGGCTGGGCTGTCCTGGGCCTCGTGGGCCGTCTTGAAGCCATCTTGCACCGTCGTGGGGCTGCCCCGGGCCGTCGGGACGGTTTCTTCGATTTGTCTTGGCGCTCCGCCGTGGCCCTTTTCCGCTGCCTCGGGGCCTTTTTCAGGATGACGCAGGCGCCGGGGGTGCGCTGACGAGCCCGTCCTCCCTCCCCCTCCCCTCCCCCCCCTCCCCCCCCCCCTCCCCCTCCACAATTACTCACTTTGATCGTCGGGTGGGTGTAAGTGCGGTAAGAGCGTTGTATATCCGATGAAATCGTTTCAACGAAGATGTATGTAGGTTCATGCTAGTTGACCTCGCATATTCAACATATATAAAATATCGAACTTCGCATTCATCTACTTAACGTTTTGTTAGATAAGTATATTCAACAACATACCATACATACTACTCACAGAACCATCCATCTTATCAACTGAGCTATCGGGTACCACTGCCAAGATATATCGATACATACACCTCAACATACCCAACTTAGTAGCTAAGTCAGCTAAGTCGATGTGGGCTGTCCGATTCGGTTAACCCGAAATTTGCATAACTTTCTATGTTTTGCATGTTTGTTCTTGATATTGCTATGTTTCGGGAAAAAAACCACAAAAAACGTTTTAACAACTACAACACAACAGTTTTTCAGGACAGGGCGCCGCAGGTCGACGCGCCGAGCCGCCCTCAGGACGCCTGCGGGGCGCGGAGGGGAAGGGGGGAGAGGGAGAGGGGGGGGGATCAACTATTCTTCAAACTGCCTCCCCTCGGCGGCCATCACCGCCTCCCCTCTCCTCTCCTCGTTGTCGGCGGCCAGCCCGCCCCCGCTCCCTCCTGCCGCCTTCCCTCCCCGAGCCCGCCTTCCTTCTTCGGCGGCATATCCGCCCCTCCCTCCTGCACCTCTCTATCGAAGGGCGGCGCATCCGCCAGCGGCATATCCGCTCTCGCATGCGCTCGTTTTTTCCTTTTTCACGTGATGGCGAGCACATAGCCATCGTCCTGTAGTCGCCGATAAGCCGCCCAGGCTGGCGGGATCAGCTCGGCGGGCATCACGGCGACGTCGCCGCGCGGCCGCCACAGGGACGCGCCTGGGCATGGCGCGCGCACCCATTCCAGGGTCTCCACCAGCAGGTAGCTGGCGGCGCCAGCCTGCGCGCAGCAATGCACGATGTACGCCTCGCCGTCGCCCAGGAGAAAATCCTGAGGGCAGCAACGCCTCGATTTTTGGGGGGGCACACGCATGTGCACCCCTAAATACCAAGGTTGGTTGCGCCGTCTGTCCTGGCTGCCGTACATCTGGCCGTCGATCGACGCCTCTCTGCTGGTCCACGTTTCAGCCCTGCGGAGGGGTTCCTCCTCCTCCTCCTCCTCCTCCCTCCTCCTCCTCCTCCTGGCGGCGAGCCGCCTCGGCGGCAAACCGCCTTCCCCTCTCCCAGCCCATCTTCCTCCACAAAGGGCATGCAAGGTTGCGCCCCGAGTGCCCGAACGTACTGTCCAGCTCTGGCGTGCGCCACGCTTTGGCGCGGGAGCGCGGCGCCTCCTTCGCTTCCTCCAGGAAGCAGGCGAGCATCGCCGTCAAGGCCGACCGCTCGAAATTCTCAGGGTTGTCGATCTCCTGCGACCTGGACCGAAGCAGGTTGTGCTTCCGCTCGAGTACGAAGGCGTCCAACCAGATGCCGTCCTCCGCAGGCTGGTCGGGGACGTGCCACAAATAATGATGCTTCGGCTTGATCAGGGCTGGCCCGTGCGCGGCTTTGTGCAGCGCCAAGGAAATCGAAACGGCCTTGGTCCAGACAGCTATCAAATTCGGCACGGCGCCGATCCTCAGGACGTAGCCGAACCGCCTGCCACCTAAGCGCTCGAGGATGCGCGCGGGCCGACGCGGTGCATCCTCGAACGCGCAGGCCAGCGTTTGCGTTTCAGCTGCGGCCGCATGTCCTTTTGCCCTGCATGTACAATTCGAGCATCTTCGCCATCGCCTCGAACGACCGCGCCGCAGCGTTCGCCATGCCGCTGGGACGCAGCTCTGTGTGCACCCAATGACGAATCAAAGGGAACACGGCCAAGCAATCCGACGCCTTGCCCACGAAGTGCGACGCCTTGCAGGTCGCTTTCTTCCGAGCCACGCTGAACAGAAACGCTGGCGGTTTCCTGCCGCGTCTGCCAGTCCGCCACGCCGAGCAGCGATCCCGCCACGTTCCCCACGCGTCGGGGATGACATCCCTCACCGCCTTGAGGAGCGCAAAGATTTCGACCTGCAAGGTCCCGCCGCTGGCCAGCATGGTATGCATGGGGTCCCTCACGTATGTGCTCGGCGGCGCCACCGTCCGCAACGCCTGGCACGCCACCAGAGAACGGTCATCCAGAGTGATGCCCATTGCCGTCTCCT